AGGGGGAGAAACAAGCTGTTTCCATATGATGAGCCTAAAAGAGGGACATGGAAATGGCCCAGTCTGGGAGCTCTCTGCCTGTGGCCACACATTAGAAACACCTGAGGAACTTAATGTGAAACAAAAGAGTGCTGGGTCCTGCCCTCAGAGATAGCGATTTAACTGTCTTGGTAGAACATGGGCATCTGTAGGTCTTACAAGGCCCCCCCCCCACCCCCCCACCCCCACCCAGGTGGATCTAACATGCAGCTTTGGCTGAGAAGCACTGAGCCAGCCCACCCTCCTTGTCCTGTGTGCTAGGGGAAGGGAGGTGTCCTCATATATAGGGCTTACCCCAGGCCCTTCCCCTTCTGCCGGCTGAGGTTCCCCAGGAAGCCCCAGAGCAGCCGAGCTGACCCCACCCCTGGGATACACCCCAGCAGGGGGAAGACCAATGTGCTTCCTGGACCCCACGTGAGCAAGGAATGTCCTGTGCTCTCTCTGCAGTCCAATGTGTCAATTCCCCTTTGCTCACAGGGCTGATGGGTGCCTTCCCAGCCCAGCAAACCAGTTATGGGAGAAAATCATTCTCCAACTTTCAACCTGCCAATCCTGCCTCTCTCCGACTCCCAATTCTGCTGGGTAAGTAAATAATTTCCTGGCCCAAGCCCATTTTCCAGGAAAAAGCCATATATGGACAGACCAGGTCCTGAGAGCACTGGACTATAAAAGGTGCAGTGTCAGTGGGGTACCAGTTAAATCCCAGGTAATGCCTGCTAAGGCAGCACCCCACTTGCCCTTATTTTCTCTAGCATGTCCAGACCCAGCCAGGCCGCAAGATAAATAGTGCACCTTGCAGTGTGCCTAGAATGCGCTTCTCCACCCAGTCCTGCTGAATACACTTACTCATCCTTCAAGACTCAGCCTCACCTTCTTCATGGAGCCTTTCCTACTCCCCAGGTTGGCTGCCTCCTGGTGACAGACAGAAGCTACACACATTCTCTCGGGAGGGACTCAACTTCAGTCCCAGCCAACAGAGATTACAGCAAAGCTGTTGATTTGTAACATGCATCCTGACTTTAGACATAAAAAAATGTATAAGTCTTACAGCGAATGAGATGTATGGGTGTCCTTAGGTCCTGGGGATAATGGAGAAAGGAGGGCCTCCTGCCTACAGCCCCTTCCCAGACGAGCAGGGCGCATATCAGGACTCCTTTGAGATCAGGAACGAAGACATCTGGGTGACTCTTTGGTTGAAGCTACCACTCCCTCAATAACTTCAATTTAATCCTCCAGGCATGTGTGTGTGTGGGGGGGGGGGGGGGGCGGAGGGGGAAGGGTGCAGTAGGCGCCTGTCAGCCTGGAAGTGGTGCCTGCCTTCCACGTCCTCCATATGAATCACTAGCACTATACTTGTCACCCTGTAAGAGGGGTCTGCTCTCCCCCAAGTGAGGGCTAAACACTTAAAGCTTAAACATCTATTACAGTGGTTCTCAACCTTCCTAATGCCGCGACCCTTTAATACAGTTCCTCATGTTGTGGTGACCCCCAATTTCATTGTTACAAATTGAACATAATTAAAGCATAGTGATTAATCACAAAAACAATATGTAATTATATATGTGTTTTCCAATGGTCTTAGGCAACCCCTGTGAAAGGGTCGTTCGACCCCCAAAGGGGTCACGACCCACAGGTTGAGAACCGCTGATGTATTAGGAGGAGGCTGGCTAAGTAAAAATTAGCACATTTGCCCTAACCGGTTTGGCTCAGTGGATAGAGCGTCGGCCTGTGGACTGAAGGGTCCCAGGTTCGATTCCGGTCAAGGGCATATACCTTGGTTGGGGACACATCCCCAGTAGGGAGCATGCAGGAGGCAGCTGATTGATGTTTCTCTCTCATCGATGTTTCTAACTCTATCCCTCTCCCTTCCTCTCTGTAAAAAATCAATAAAATATATTTAAAACAATTAGCACATTTATGTGATGACATAGGTATAGAGGTTGAGAGGAATGAGTGAGATCTCTGCCTATCAACGCAGATAGAGCTAAAAACAATTGGTGTAAAAACTAAGTTGCTGAATAACCAGTTCGGCATGATTGCATTATTGGAAAGCATCCCCCCAAACCACTTTGTTTGGTGGGTACATTTACAAGTTAATCTGCAAGTTCAGTGCAGAACGAGAGCACACTTCATCTGTCTGTGTGTCATCCAGGTCCAGTGGAGAGCCTGGTGCACAGTAGGTGCGCAGTAAACATGTGCCAAATTGGGTGGCAACACTGGTGACCACTGGGGCCTTTTTCTGGATCTATGAATCTGGGCATCTCCCCAGGGGCTTCAAGGGAATTCCTCCTACACTGGGTCTCCCTCCCCTTCCCAGCCATCCTTCTCCCAGCTAAATCCAGGACCCATAGCTCCATTCAGAACCGGCAGCTCCCAGCCTGTTCCCTTCCTCCCCAGACCCAGACTGAGCCCCCACTCTGTTCCTCTGCTGGCTTGGGCACTGGGCTGGGAGCAACTCAGTGGGGCCAGCTCCCCCTGGTAAAGTGGGGGTGCTAAAGGACACTCATGTGTGTATTCATGTATATGTATGAGTATGTGTGTATGTTGGGGTAACAGGCTGCTTCTCAGAAGCTGGGGTTGGAACACAAGAAGCAAGCTGACAAGGACCCAGGCCATTAACTAAACTTCCCTGCTGTAGTCTCTGATCATCTGCTTCTAAATGAGAGGGAGCACCAGATACTCACAGCCCTGATGGCTAACTTACCATGTTGAGAGGTGAGAAAGGAAATGAACAAGGGTCCTAGAAAGACACTCAGCTTGGCCTGCTGCAGGAGGCCTGCCAGCTTTCTGAGTGGACAAGCTTTTAAATCAGTCTTAGTCAGCTCAGGCTGCTATAACAAAATACCAAAGAAGGGGGAGCTTCAACAACAGACACCTATTTCTCACAGTTGTGGAGGCCGGGAAGTCCAAGATTAATGTACCCACAGACTCAGTTCCTAGTGAGGGCTCTCTTCCTAGCTTGCAGACAGCCACGTTCCTAATGTATCACATGATGGAGGGGCAAACTCTGGCATCTCCCTCTTTTTATAAGGACACTAAATCCTATCATGGAAGTTCCACCCCCATAATCTCATCTAAACCTCATTATCTCCCAAAGGCCCCACCTCCAAAAACAGCACATCCTGGGGGTTAGGACGTCAACATATGAATTTCAGGGGGGCACAAACACTCAGTCCATAGCAGTCCATGTATAGAGAAAACGCTTCAGATGCAGGCTGTCTGTGAGTTTGTGTTTGTGGGGTGAGCTTTAACAGAACTTCAGTGTAAGGGATGAACATCAGACTTTCTGGGTGGCAGCTTTTGACAGAGGCTGAAAAGGCAGAAAATGGAGGGAGCTGGTGAGAGGGAGCCCACTACATCATCAAGGCTGGCCCTGAAGCACGGGCCTCTTTCAGGCAGGTGTACTTCCATTCAATGACTTTTCAGGTCGAGAGCCTGGCTGGCACTGGGTTCGTGCTAGGGACCAGAGCTGGAAAGAGTGCCTGCCGCCTGGAGCGTACAGCTGTGCAGGAGCCAGATACTGAGTGGAGAATTGCAAAACTTGTACCTGTCCTCCAGGTTTCGCACGTGCTTCCTCTTTGTCTAGGACACCCTGTCTTCTCTGGTGCTCCCGTTCACCTGTCATGTCTCAGCAGGTGTAGCTCCCTTTGAGGGGCTTTTTGCGGCTTCCCTAGTCTGATGTTCAGTCTCCCAGGGCTCGCCACCCCAAGCTGGCTCTCCTGATTCCTTGTCTGTGGATAAGACTGTGATCCGTGCTAACTCCAGTACCCACTGTGGCCTGCTTCTTGCAGGAAGGCAGTGCTCTGAATGAGTGAGTGGATAAATGAATTAGACACTGTGGTGAACGGCAGGCCCTTGGAAGTCAGGGAGAGCTGCGCAGATGTGGCCTGAGAATGGTGGTTGGAAATATGTGGTGGAGGGTTGAAAGATAATGGAAGAGGTCACTGCAACTCCAAACACCTACCCACCTGATGGGCTCCCAGCAGCGATTTCTTGCCCCACAGACAGCTAGATGCACATGCCTTACGCCAGTTTTCCTGGGCTTCTGAGATCTGCAGCTTCCAAAGCTGATCACTAGCCAGAGAGGCATTACCGTCAGAAGTGCTAGATTGCCGAGGTTTGAATCCTAGCTGCTCCACTGGCTAGCTGGGGACTTTGTGCACCTCTCTGTGCCTCAGTGTCCTCACTGGTGAAGCAGGGATAAGAGTAGCACTTATTTCTTACGGTGCGGAGGGGACTAAATGACAGAAGTCAGTCTTGTCAAGTCCGAGGGATGGTGAATACCTCGGGGCTTAACAAGTGCTGGCTCCACCTACTGGTCCTCCTCCCTCCAGTGGCCCTGCACTGGTCACTCTTTAAACCTCAGCTGACTAATCCGTAAAATAGAAATAATAATAACGCTAATGATTAAACCGGAAAGCAAGACTGCCTTACAGTCTGTTGTTTGTGTCTATAGGCGAGTTTGTGGGGCTGTGCGTTGCCTCCAGTCAGGGGGTTTCCAGTGCCCACGCTCCGCTCAGTGCAGAGGCTAGATCACCCTGCACTCAGGCCCAGCACCCAACCCTTGCAAGAGAGTCTGTCTGAGTGAGCCAGTAAGATGGGGGGGCGGGGGGGTGGGGAGCGGGAAAGGGGAGGGGGAGGGGGAAGGGTCCTAGCAGTAGGGGCGGGGCCCGTGCGCCCTATGGTCTCCGGCAGCTCAGGCGCAGGCTGGTTATTCCAGGAAAAAGAAATGAAGCCGGACGGCTTCCGGCTCTGATAACGCCCGGCCGGCGCGGCGCTCCCCAGAATTGTCCCAGGGGCTGGCCCGGGGGCTCCGCTCTGCCCGGGTCCCTCTGGCCCCGGTCGGCGCCAGCTCCAGGCCGCGCCCAGCCCCCGGGAGGGCCAGCCGAGGTGGCGAGGGCCGGCGGCTGGGCAGCCCAGACACCCCAACCCTCCCTCGCCCCGCCCAGCCCCGAGCTTACTCTGCAGACAGCAGGCTGCGGCCAGGCGGAGGGCGAGCAGCCCCAGGGAGATGCCGCGGTGCTCCCTCCTCCGGCTCGGTAGAGGCCTCATGAGCAAGCCCGGGAGGCGCGCCGGGCATGGGCTGCCCCGCGCGGCCGGCTGTGCGCCGCCGCCGCCGCTCCTGCCTGCCCGGCTGCCTCCCGGCTCCTCCTCCTCTGCTCCTGCGAGTTCTTCGGGCCAGATGCGGGTGAGCTAGCTGGTTGTGCTCTGGTTGAACCAGTTCCCAAGGATTTGGAAAGAGAGAGGAGAGGGAGAGAGACAGAGAGAGAATGGGAGGGGAGGTGAGGGGAGGGAGGGGGAGAGAGAGAGAGAGAGAGAGAGAGAGAGGAGAGAATGCACACGCTTAGAAGTAAATACTGGCAAACATGGAGCAGTCTCCTTCCGTTCACACCCAGTTGACTGGTATCGATTCAAGATTCGCTGGATGCTGGGTGGCGGGAAGGAGGGAAAGTACTAGCTGTTGCCTCGGGACCAAGAGGGACCATCTAATGGCTCCACGGGAAAGGAGAAGGCTTTTAGGAAACTGAAATGACAACCTGAGGGGAGAGGAGGGAGAAGAGGGGAGCCAGGGAGCCCACAGGCAGGCTGGCTGCTCTGGGTGGAGCCTTTGGACAGTGATGATATACTCATCCGAACCCATCTATCCACCTAACCATCCACCCATTTATTCATCCATCATTCATCCACCATCTGCCACTCAAACTTCCAATACCCACCCACCATCCATTTATCTACCACCGTCATTCATTCATTCATTCATTCATTATCCATCCATCCATCCATCCATCCAAGAAGAGTTCACTGAGAGCCTCCTCCTTATTTGCACAGGGCCTGACACATGGTAGATAGAGAACACTGATGGAATGAAGTACTAGGCTGGCACAGTGTTGGGGATACAAATATGAACAAGATAGGAATGGCCTGTAGTGGGTTTGGTTCAGTGGATAGAGCATTGGCCTGTTGACCAAAGGGTCCCGGGTTCGATTCAGGTCAAGGACACGTATCTCCGTTGCAGGCTCCTCCCTGGCCGGGCCCTGGTCGGGGCTCGAGCAGAAGGCAACCAATGGATGTGTTTCTCTCACATTGATATTTCTCTCTGTCTTTCCCTTTCCCACTCCTTCTAAAAAATCAATGGAAAAATATCCTTGGGTGAGGATTAAAGCAAAACCAAACCACAAGATAGGTATGGACACCTCTTTAGAAATCCTAGCAAAGGGTGGGGCTGGAAAAATGAGCAGCTGCTGTACAGTGCATATATCACTTTGATAAGGGAGACCAGAATGCTATGGAGACTCAAAGCAAGAGTACCTAACCCTAGGGGAGGGGGAAGGAGCACAGGGTGGGAGAGGAATTAGTATTGGTCCCAGCTAGTCATGAAATTCTGTGTGTGTGTGTGTCATGAAAGTCTATTCCAGTTTGATAAAACTAGATTTCCTAGCCTCCCTTGCAGCAGGGGGCAGCAGTGTGATCTAATGCTGGCCAGTGATGTTTAAGGGAAGCCTCCTTGGGGTGTTTCTAGGTAGGTTTTTGTTTTCCTGAAAATAGTGACGGATAAGGATAGGGCTGCTCCTCCCTTTTCTTCCTGCCTTGAACACAATGATAATGTTTAGATCTGTGGTTCCTATCTTGCATCCGTGAATTTGCATGGATGAGGACAAAAGCCATCATGCCAAGTAAGGCGGTGGAGCAGAAAGATGGAAAGATAGAAGAGCATGGAAGTCCAGAACATTTCCCTAGCTCCTTCTTATGGTTCCTAAGGGGGACTCTGCCAATTCTGTGAATTTGCAGTGAGGCTGACAGTGGCGGTACCCTGCTGACAGCCACAGGGTGGATGGTGAGGCAGGTTGACCAATCAGAGTACACTCTTCACCAGCCAAAGTGTTTGGTTCAAGGATGGGCTGGTCTTCCCTGGGAATTACATGAGGCCATTGTTGGGACTTCTAAAATCAGAGGATAGGAGGAACCATCTTGACTGTCATGTGCAGAGGCCCTAAATTAAGAACGAAGCCGAGATGACACAAATGGCCAGGAACTGAGAAGAGAGATGGAGCCCCAATGACATTGTGTGTCTGCAATTCTACACTTGCCTTTTCCAGTTGTGATCAAATAAGTACCCCTTTTTGTCTCAGAAAATTTACGTTGTATTTCTATGACATAAAATTGAGAAAGTCCTGATTAATACAGGTGATCTTCCTGACGTTTTTCTGTTGTTTTTAAAAAAATATATTTTTTATTGATTTCAGAGAGGAAGGGAGAGGGAGAGATAGAAACATCAATGATGAGAGAGAATCATTGATTGGCTGCCTCCTGCACACCCAACACTGGGGACTGAGCCCGAAACCTGGGCGTGTGCCCTGACCGGGAATCAAATTGTGATCTCCTGGTTCATAGGTCAATGCTCAATGAGAGGAAGGGAGAGAGAGAGAGAGAGAGAGAGAGAGAGAGAGAGAGAGAGAGAGAGAACCATCAATCAGTTGCCTTCTATAGGATCGAACCCACAACCCAGGTATGTGCCCTGACTGAGAATTGAACCAGCAACCTTTCGGTGCAACCAACTGAGCTACGCTGGCTGGGCGACATTTTTCTGTTTTCTTTATTCCATGTAAGGGGATTCAGGAATCACTTGTATCCATTTGTTTATTCATCAGATTTTTATTAAATCTGCCCCTGTAGGCCTGCAGCTCCAAAGATGAATCACTCATGGCTCCTAGTCCCAAGAAGCTCACAAATGAATGGAGACAGAATGATCCAAATTGAGAAAGGCGTTCAGGTATACGGCTCTTCCCGCTGAGGCCAAGGAACAGGAAATGGGCTGTATTGCTCACTGTCATATACCTGGCACCTGGCACCTGGTAGGTGCTTAGTAACTATTTGTTAAAGAAATATATGAATGAGATAAACAGCCTGAGAGATTTAAGAGAGAAGAAAGAACTTCATGAGATAAAGAGCTACTGAAAGCCAGCTAGACTGACTCAGTGATGCTATGAGTTCTTATCCTACTTCTGTCACCTACCAACTCTCTGGACCTCTGAGGGAGTTGGACTGTGCCAGAAATGGTTAACCCTGTCTGCACATTAGAAAGAAAGCACCATGCCTTGGGCCTCACTCCAGTTCAATTGAATCAGATTATCGGGGGTGGGGGGTGGCATTAGAGTTTTTCAAAATCTCTCTAAATCAGTGGTTCTCTACCGTACTAATGCCGTGACCCTTTAATACAGTTCCTCATGTTGTGGCGACCCCCAATTTCATTGTTACAAATTGAACATAATTAAAGCATAGTGATTAATCACAAAAACAATATGTAATTATATATGTGTTTTCTGATGGTCTTAGGCGACCCCTGTGAAAGGGTCATTTGACCCCCAAAGGGGTCGCGACCCACAGGTTGAGAACCGCTGCTCTAAATGATCTCATGTGCAGCCATGATGGAAAACCACCACTCCAGATGAGTTAGAAGCTTCTTGTGGTCATGCTGCTGACATTTAGATCTGAGTTTGTCAGATCCTTTCTTTAGAGTAGGATTCCATAGAGGGGAGTGTTAGACCCCCAGAGCAAGGACGATGGGCCAGGTACAGAAACTTACCAGGAAGAAAGCCCCGGATGCCTAGCAAGGGGCAAAACTGGGAAAACAAGAACCTTGCCCCAGGGTAACCTATCCTCCCCTAGCATATCACTGGCCATGCAGTTTGGACCCCTGATCTTTGATATTGCTGGTCAGGTGACTTAGCTTCCCTGACCTTTTCCTCTCTAAAGATAACGTCAAGGCCTCAGTTGTATTTCAGCTCCGGGACCAAAAAGCAGCAAAACCAGACAAGTGGCGCCAGGAGCTACATTGACTAATAACCCTTTGCCCTGGCACCGACCAATCAGTGGAGACCACGACCCTGAAAGCGCTCCTGGAAAGCTAATGAATATTCTATTAAGCCCCTCCCCTGAGACCTCCCCGAAAATTTCCACCTGGAAGAGAGAGGTAAATACGCTCAGGACAAAGGACTAGTTGGAGCTCTTTCTCCAAGGAGCACACCCGTGCCATTCTCCCAGTCATGTATCCCACAACCTCTAAGGGACCCCATGAGACTTGCAGCCAGGGGAGCAATGGGCAGCGTCAGCTCCTCACGGGCTTACCCCCGAACCCCCCGTTCTGTGTGTAGCCCTTCCTTTGGAGAGCCCCACCTCCCATCCCCTTTTTCTTAAATCAATTCAATTTTCTTTAATCACCGTCTGAGATGGTTATTTAGCCTGCCTGCACGCCACCAACTTTAACGTCTCAGGGAGAATTTATAGTTTTAGTTGTCCTTCCCTTCCTCCATCCTCACTTCCTTTCTTCCTTCTTCCCCCTCCTTTCTTCCTTCTCTTCCTTCCTCCCTTCCTCCATCCTTCACTTCCTTTTCTTTCCCTTTCAACAGCTATTAATTACCTGCAAAATCCCAGGCATGGCACTAGTCTGATTGAAGCAGAGAGGAGGGAGTAGGAAGGAAGACTAGAAAAGTAGATTGGGGCTAAGATTTGAGGAATTTATGTACGAAATACTGAGGATGCTTGTGTTTGCTAAAAGGATGTAATTCAAGATTCACACTTGATCTGAAATGTTGGCTTCTCCGCCCTCTGTTCTTCGGTACAGTGGAACCTCAGTTCTCAAACTTAATTCATTCCAGAAGGTTGTTTGAGAAGTGATTAGTTTGAAAACCGAATAATTTTTTCCCCATTAGAAATAATGTAAATAGAATTAATCCGTTCTAGAATCCCAAATGATTCCCTGTTTTAACCTTTCTTGTATACAGTACATGTCTAATGGACTGTTTAATCTATAAAGAAACACTTCTTTTCTTAAATTTATCAAACCACCCCCTACTAGCCTTAAAGGAATCACTTCAGCACCGGTTCCAGGGGTATCTTCCAGATAAGTATGTAGCATCTTTGCTTTTTCACATATGAAATGCTGTCACTGGCTAACTGCTTTTTATTTACCCAAATCAACAACAGTTTTTCTACCTCTTCAATTGTCCCATTGTTTATTTATCACCCTTAGCAACATTAGCACTCTTGATGAGCACTCTTGATAGCCTCTTTATGTTTT